AGAAGAAATTTATAAAGGAATAGAACAAATGAAGAATAAAGAGGAAGGGATTCAACAGACAAATAATAAAAAAGAAGATATAATTCATCCTATAATGCCTAAACCATTGTTAGATGATATTAGGTCTTCCACTGGTCATATTCAAATTAACGAGTCAAAAGATATAAATGAAGTTGAACCTTCAGCACAATTAACTCTATCACAAAAAGAAGCTCAACTAGGATGTCAAAAAATGGTAATAAGTAAACCCCAAACTCAAGAAGAGTCTATTCCAAAATCTATTGGTAATAATTCTATTATTAACATTGTTCATGTTCAATGTTGTGATGATACAAACACAAATAAAAGTTCTATTCCAATACACTCAACCGATACTTCTATAGAACAGAGTAATGGCATTAATATTTCAGGAAATCAACCTAAAACAGTGAAACTAAGTAAGGAAATTCACAAATCACCTAATAAAAAATTACCAGTACCACCTCAGAAATGTGCTGATACACAATCAGTAGAATATAAGGAGTTACCACCACCTCCTTGTATTATTCTTTCTTCTCAACAACTAGAAGATGGAACTTCACAATCCCCACCACCAGTTCCACCAAGAAGATCTCCTAAGCCTAAGCCATGTAGTTATGCACCTCCAGCTGATTTTGCTTGAAAACTTTGTTGTTGACAAGTAATTCATCAATTAAAATAATAATTAGATAGTATTTCAATAATAAAATTAAAATAAAAGAATAATTTATTTTTAAATCCATAGAAAAACAAAAAAAGTACTAAAAAAAATAGACATATAAATCAATGAGCTTCTTCTCAAGTTTATGGAATAGAAATACCCGTCAACAACCAACACCTACAACTAATCCTGTTATTCAACAAAGGCAAGAACGGAGTAATAAAGTTATGACAAGTTGTTATTTAGATTTACATGATAGTGATACAGTAAATTTATTGACACTATTAAAACCAATGCACCAAATTGACTTTTTGATATTAATTAATGTACATTCATCTTTGATTAAAGATGAGTCAATTATTAAAAAAATTCAATTAAGTCATCCTCACATTCACCCACCATTATGTACATTTAAAAAAGAAATTCCAAGAACTTTAATATTTTCTAAGTTCAACATCATTGAAACTATTCCTTGTCCAAAAACACCAACTATCTTTGCACGTAAAACAGAGTTTGAATGTCAAATTATTAGAGTTGGAATAGAAGAAATTTATCCATCTGCGTCAATTGGATTTGTTGTTTTTAATTTAGATTCTAAAGTTAATGACAAAGAAAATATTGTCGAAGATTATGTGCCTGTTACTCCATTTTTTATTAAACAATATGAATTAAATCTTATTGGTAAATTAGAGTCAACAATGAATATTCCTAATTACCGTAGAAGTGCTGTATTATATTTTGGTAATTTTCATGAACCTACTGTCGTTGATGAACCTATTACATTAGGTACTTTTGACCAATCTATATTAGATACTATTATTAATAATCTTATTGAACATAAAGAAACTGTTATTGATGGAACTTCAATGATTGAACAACTTGAACAACATCAAATCCCTGTGAAAAAAGCTCTTGGTATTATTTATTCTAAATGTGAGGAATTTATTACTTTAAGGGCAGCAATTATTGCTGAAGCCGTTGCAATATCTATGAGTGATTATATCCATTCTTCAGTAAGACTTCTTCCTTATAAAGATATTGCAAGACAATATATTGATGAAAGTGTACTTGGACTGAATACAGCTTGTAAACTATGGGGATATTATAATGAACATATTGATAAAAATGAACCACAAACTGCAGCATATTTAAATCGTATTAATAAATCATTGTCAGAAATGAATCTTCCTATTGAAATAGAAAATACTGAAATTAATTTTGCCATGTTTCTTACTGCAATACAAAGATGGTTACATTTAAAAATGAAATCTCCAATTCTTATTTCATTACTTAGTGGTAAAGAACTAAGAGATATAACAGCAAATGATTTTCTATTTACAACAGAAGTTTGTTTTCCAAACTTCTCTTCTTCTAAATTAAAAGAGAGTCAAAGAATTAATGGGAATTTACTTGGTTTATGTTATGGTAATTTCTTAAATCATATGGGTAGTCTTGTAGAGTCTAATAGTGATTGTGCTCTTACTATCCAAAAAGATCTTCATATTCTTAACATGACTAATTTTCAAAGTAGTGACTATACTTCTAAATCACCATTTGCCTCTGTTCAGTGTTTACAATATTCTTTAATTCCTCAATCACTTCAATTACCTCCTTCAGTAGATGGACTATTTGTTCGTTTTGCGATTTATCCCCAAATCCAATAATTAGAAAATTCAATTAAATTTTAATACTTCTTTTTTTTATAATTGGAATTTTATTATCTTCTTTTTCTCTCTTTAAAACTTTTAAAATAATTCTTTCATTTTTAATTCTTTGTTTCAATCTTTAGTAAATAGCTTACATTATTATTTTCTTATTAAAATTGAATATTTTTATTTATTAAATAATAATATAACACTTCGTATAATTAGATTCTTTTAAAATTTTGTACTTTACTTACTTTAATCAAATTTATTTATTATTGCTTTGTCTAAAACAGATGTAATGTTTTTTTTTATTATTGATAACAATTAACAGACATAATTTTATTTAATTACTTTATACATAAAGAAAAAATACTTCAATTATTTTGGTGGTAAATTCCATCTTTTCTTTTGTGATGAATTAACAGTTGGTTGAGTAGTTTGTTCATTTGTTTGTAAAGGCTCTTGTTTTGGTTCAAATTGATTAGAACTAGGACTTTGAAAGAGTGGTTGCGAGGAACTTTGAGGTGATTGATAAATTTGGGGTTTTGGAATAAATGACTCTTGTTTATATTCTTCAAACCTTAACGCTGGCTCATCTTTTTTAGTTGATTTAAAGTTAATTGGTTCTGAAATAAGAACTTGTTTTTCAACGGTTGATTCATTGATACTATTGGAAATTAATGCTTGATATGAAATACCATTCTGATTTAACATTAACATTTCATGACACCTTTGTTGTACTTCAATAGAATTAATTAAATGCTGATCAAATTGAACTTGGTCATTATTTTCTTCAACAATAGGTTGTTGAGTCTTTTGTGGAATATCCCAAATATTTAATAAATCAATTGGTTGACATTGTTGGGTTTGTGATGATATTTGAACTTTATTATTGTCCTTATTGTTATTAGTATCGTTGGTACTTTTTTCTTTAAAAAGTAATGAATGAATAATCCCAATATTATTTGTTTGAATTGCAGCAACAATACCCTCTTTAACAGCACCTTTTTTAATACATTTAATAATAATCTTTCTTATTTCATTCATATCAAGTTCATTGAAATTATAACATTTTGAGATAATTAAGCAAGAGAATTGTGCTAATGAAAGAGTTATTTCATCATAATTAATATTAATAACATTATAAATGTTTTGTAAAGCAATACCATAATTTGCTTCTTCACTTTTCATTGCTTCAATAAAGTTTGTGTAAATCATAGTCAATTCTTCTTCACTCAATCCTTCTTGCATTGGTTCCACTTTATTAAATTCTAATATATGAATTACGATATTACAATACCATTCAAAATCTGGAGTATACTTCTCACAAATAATATAAACAACTTTCAATATGTGACTTCTAACTTTGCATTTATCAACATAACTTAATGTTTTCTTTACATGATCTAATAATGTTAATACAACACCCACAGCCTCTTCAGATTCAGTAATGTTATTAATTAGTTCAATAGCTTCTTCTACAACAGAATCATTATCGTTATTTATAAATTTCATTATTGTGTCAAGATGGTTTTTACAAAGAACTGGATTTCTATCACTAATGACCCTCATTGTTTTTAATCCACAATAAATGATTAGTCCATCTTTCTTCTCAAATAATGTCGATGCTACTAATGCTGCATTTCTTAACATAACATCAGTTGGAATACACATCATCGTTGTTTTAATTAGTTCAATTTGCAGTGCCATCCCAATCCCACCAGGAATGACTTTATATATTTCCATTAAATTTGCCATTGATTGTTGATAATATTTTGTACTTGGATTCATTATTCTCAACAATCTTAATAACTTTATTTGAAGGTATGGAGCACATATATCATTTATTTTATATCCTTTATATTGTGAGGGAATCTTTTTACTATTTTCATTTGAATAACCAGCAAATAACAATAAATAACGTAATGCCACATCAATAAGACCAGGCCATATTCTTCTGTCTGGAGTTGTTTTTGACATAATTTGTGTGATTATTGGAATAGCAGATTCAACTACAATCATTGATTGATCAACAAGTGCAACGGATAACGCTGATTTAATTATTGACTGAGAGTCATGGTCAGATAATAAAAATATTCTATATAATGAACGAATTGATGCTGCACGAATATTTGGATCTTTTGATTTTAATAATTGATTAATATGAGGAGAATATGCTGGCATAGTTGTTGAAGTAATAAATCTTGATAAAATACGTAATGCATATAATGGATTTGTTGATGTTGGACCAAGGAGTTTAGTTAATGAGTTAGTTAATAACAAAGAGAATTCGGAGTCATTTGGTATTATTGCTGAAGTAGCTATAAGAGCAGTTTTTTGTAGATTAGAGTTTTGATGTTGAGTTGAATTGATAATCATAAATAGTGATTGTTCTACGTTATATCCTAATTCATAAATATTCATCATTTTTTTAATATATTCCTTCATATAAGAAGGATTAGTGTTATTTAATCCATTTCCTTCTTCTTTTAATATTGAATTAACAAATTTTCTTTCTTCATCAGATGTGCGTTTTTCTCCAATGTCATGAACAAAATTAGCATAAGTTCTATTCATGTTATGTTGTTTAAGAAAAGAGGTTGCTATTCTTTTTAAGATCCTTTTTATTGCAAATATTTAATTAATGTAACCACGTAATAATAATAGAATTGTAATAAACATAAATTGGTAAATAAAAGATATATAATAACATATTTCTTTTTAAGATCTTTTAGTTCTTTCTGGTTTTGTTCAATTCGATAATAACACAATGCAAGAACCACAAGAATATCATTCTCCCCACAGAAAGTTTTTACAGAAAGGGGTGTTGGTTTGTGTTGTAATTTTGTTTATTATTTGTGGAACATTATCAATTACTTTATCAAAAACGTGTTATACATTACAAGCAGAAAATTTTGAGAATGACTTGGTTTATTTTAGAAAGCCATTATTCTTTAACTCCCTAATGTTCTTTTCTATGGCACTATGCACTTTCCCTTATTTATTGTTGAAATATGTTTTCAGTGATAAAATGTCAAAACCAAAAGAATATACAAACAAACATCTTTTGTATCTTTTCTTTCCTGCTCTTTTAGCATTCTCAGCAACATACTTACAAAATATTGGATTAGTTTATATTCATGGAAGTGTTTTTCAAATGCTTAGAGGTTCAGTAATCATTTTTATTGCATTATTACAATATTTCATTAAAAAAAGAAAATTGTTACCACATCAAATTACTGGTGTCTTGATTGTTGTTGTGGCTATAGCATTAGTTGGTTCAAGTAGTTTTATGATTCCTTCAAATAAGAATCCTGGTGCAACAACACATTCTAT